AACATTTTTAACTGCCAAAGTCTTGCAAATATTTATGAAAAATTTCAAAATTTTTCAATACTTTTTGTAACAGGGAAGAAAGAGACACACATGTGTTGCTTTCATTTTTTTTTTTTTTTTACTAGCTCTAATAAAATTAAAAATGTGAAAATAAATTAACTTGCTCTTTACTAACAGATGCTATATTATCAATAATAGCCAATTGAAGATTGTCTATTAAAAACTAAGAAATTTAGAAAATGCTCACCAACATTGTAGAGCCATTTGCCTTAACATGCTACCTTATTCCACCCACAAACAAGCTATTCTATAGCAGCAAGTAAGATAGCAATGGGCAAACTGTATTTATAAATAAGTGTAGCACAGATTTATGTATATCAACCTATGTACAGCATACATATACAATAACAGATGCAAACTGTTGCTAAAAGACATGGTTGTATGTGTGCATTTGTACAATGCAAGAAATTTTTTTAATAAAGCATTAACTATTAAAAAAGACTTCAAAATAAAATTGGATAAAAAGTCTGTCACTTCCAAGAAACAAATTACTCTATATTTATTGCACAAAGAATATTTTTTAATACTTTTTCATCAAGCTCCCTGGAGAGCATTTCTTTTGATGTCTTTATTATACTTGGCTAATTTCAGAGCCATACTTTAAAAAAGTTTTAGGCTTTCTAACAGGCTTGTGATTTATTCATTCTATTTACTGTATCTTTATACAAATCAAAACATATTTCTAAAACTTATTTAAATAATTCAGCACAGTATTTTAAAGTTTTATTTATTTCTATGAATAAATGTGATACATCTTGTGCTTGTAAAATTTAGTACATTTATAAAAAATAGTTTATTATGTACTTAGAATTGAAATTTATAATAATTTTGAAAATAGCATTTGCCATGCAGCAATAAAAAGACTATATTATGTATTTCTAAAAATGTAAAGCATGAGGACAAATCAAAATTTAAAATTTCATTCATAACCAAAGAAAATTCCACATTTCATTGCGATTTTTCTTTTTCAGTAAAAGAATTTAATTCATTTTATAATCTTTCTGTTGCATAAATTCTAATGATACAAGTTTAATTAAATCATGCATCCAGGAAGCCTGGTTCATCTTGTCAACAACATCTACTCTTGTCCATGGATGTCTCTCAGTTGAAAAAATAATCTAAATCTGAGTCAGCATGTAGAGAGCTTTCTTCTAAGGAAAATGAAAAGAAAGAGAAAATAATTACCTGACAACAATATTGCAACAAGTGTATACATGTACAGGTAAGTAAATATACATACTTATCAAATGCCCACCAGCTTTTTGACAGCGGTATTAAACTTTTGTCTTATTTATTGTTTTTGCTGCCACTTCATTCAGTTTGGGAGAACACTTTCCTATAAGCCACCAGCTTCTTTTCAGATACTCACCAATCGAAATTTGATTAAAATGTTGATGGCAAAAATACCTCAGATTGGGACCTCACAACTCTATCACTCTACTTGTGTGAAAGAATTTCATCTTGACACTGCAAAAATTCACAAAACACATTTTAAAAATTAACCTCAATTTAGATACTTTGTTATATTTTCTCCATTCAAATGATTAATTCTAACCTAAGTAAATGCCTAGATGATAGTAATGGCAATATACCTGCATCTCACAAGTATTTGAATATATCATTAGCCATTTTGAAAGCCATACAGAGTAATATCAGAATTATATGGCTTTGTCTAATTGATATCTTTTTCTTTTTACAGCAAGCATCTAAAAAAAGAAAAAGATTAACAAGCTGAGGAAAAAGGCTTTTACATTAAGCCACTTTAAAAACAAACCTGTTTTTTTTTGTTTTTTTTTTGGTGTATACATGATAAAACAATGCCAAGACACCTTAGAAATCTGTAAAAAAAAAATGTCAGGCAAAAAAAGTGATACAGATTTGGTTTGAAGGTACTTTTTTTTTTCTTCTTTTTTTTTTTTCAATGAAACTTGCAGTTAACTCTTTAGAGAGTTCCAGACAAGTGAGGTCCAACTCAACAAATTTTTCATGGCTTTTTTTCCTTTCCAGATTGGTTTCAAAGTGTTTAGCTGCCAGAGTGAAATGGGAGTATTAACATCATGACCACTGGTATCTGCTGATACTCCCATCTGGGAGTGATCCTTTGGGAGTATCAACACAATCCCCGGTGCTTGCCCCCATCACATTAGAATCTATTTACAAAATATACAAATCCAATTTTTCTTTGCAATTATTTTTTGATTTACTAATTGGAAAGGGGGACTTTTTGTGCTAATTTGGGATTCAGTGTCAAGAGTTCTGATGGCTTGTGAAATAAAAATAACAATAATTGACTCCTGCATCTGCAAACATAATCTATTATTGTCATCCTCTAGGAAGCAACTTCAAGTGATTATACACATTAATAACAATATTTCAGATTTTACAGACTCGTATTCCAGACCACAAAATAACTTGCTAAGGATCAAAATAATCACTCCTAGGTTCAAAGTTCAAATCAATCATGTTTATATTGATATGGTGATTTAATGAACCAATATCATTACAAGACTTCTCACAACAACCCTCTTTCAATGGCTTATCAGGAGTAACAAGTGAGGGAGTAATCTCAGTCAGTATTCCTCATGCAAACAACATCAAGTAGTAGGGAGATTTAATCAAGAGTAATACATTATTTGGACTGATTCCATATAATTTGTTTCAGTTTCCACTGTTTTTGTCAGATGAATAATTCACCCAAGCCATATAAAGTGATGGCTGTCAAAAACAAAGAAAACACTTCAAAACAAAGTTAAAAGTTTAATCAAAGTCTCATCTCTTCATTGATTATTAGATTTTTTGATTTTTTTATCAAGTGAAATTATAATTAATGAAGATATTTTGTCTTTAACAGTATGTTGAAAATAAAACAACATGATAAAATGTGTAGAGTCAACAATTAAGATTTTAGTGCACATGAGCAAAAGGAACAGGCTAGCTGGTTAAAGAAAGCTGATGCCAAGAAACATTCAAAACTTTATGGTATGCAAATAAAGCTTTTTTAATAGAGAACATGATTTGCTTGTGGTGTGTAGGAAGGAGCAGAAGAAGTGGTGTGAGTGAATTTTCTTTTCCCATTTAAAAGATAAAAAACATATCCTAATTTCCTTCACATCTGTAATGATAAATGTTTATTATAGTGTGTGAGGGAAGAGTCCATTACATGAGAAAAAAATTACTCAACAACTTTCCTTACAAAAAAAAAAAAAAAAAAAAAAAAAAAAATATATAAATAAATTCTTCCCATCCACTGTTTCAAACAGACAGAAAGGAGTTTACTGTAGACAATATTCATGCAAAAAAATATTCTCATTACAGATAAAGAAACAAAAAAGTTTCTCATAATTGCAATGGTAGAGATGTTAGTGAAGGAAAGCACATTGCACACTATTCATGGATCAAGATCATCAAAATTTGTACAAAATATATTAGCACAAAATTATTGATCTCCTGGACAAAATCTAAGTGAACAAGAAATAACTGATTTTTATTTTCTAACCAAAAGGTACCTAACAGTAAATACTGATAAGTAAAAAATACCATTGGTTTTCAATGTTGCATAAGAAATGGCAACATGGGGCAGGGGGAATAAAGGCCTAAACCTAGTTTGTTCCTTAGGACCAATGTCTTCAATTTGCTTATCACAGAATTTGATAGTTAATCTGTCTCTGTACAAACAAGTTTCATTTTGTGGAGTGGGGGGGACAGATTACTTAAGAATTATGCTGGACAACAAAACAGGTTTTTCAAAATTTGTATACTTGTCCATGAGATCAAAGCATAATGAATGATCAATTGCTTTCCTCTAGACATGCATTTTTTGCCTTTTGAATGTTTTTAAATGGCATTGCAAAATATACAATGCCATAAAAAAACACATCTGTAACTTATCACCACTTCACATTGCAAAGATTTATTTCATAAAAATAACAGTGTCGATTTGTGAAGGATACACTACAAAAAATGATGATTAAAAATTGATCAATTTGAGTATCTTTATATCTGAGCAACAATAAAAAGAAAAACAAGTTTTGAAAGCTCAGATAAAACATTGTTTTCTTTACTAAAAAAAAAAGCCAAAAACATAGGGATTTATTCTGTTCTGAACAGTAAGAATGTCAATTAAATAGCAATATAGTGGGGTTGCAAAGATTCACAGAAAAGAGGGCGAAAGTCTGGTTGGAAATTACTTTCTTTGGGGGGTGTAGGCGGAGCGTTCCTCCCTTACCACCTCTTTAATTTAAGGATAGAAAAAATAAAACACAAAAAAGACATGTAGCTGCCTGCATCTGGAGTCAGGGAAGCAACAGTGCTATCTTTAGTGGCCAATACTCTGTTTTCTACCAGTAACAAACTTAGCATATTGCTTCGATAGTTGGAGTACAGGTGATCAGAGTAGAATAGACAAGACTGAAAAGCAGAGTACTATTTTGTCTGAATTTTGTAAATCTGGCCAGACACATTTAAATGAATAAAAAAACAAGTCACATAGCAGCAGTGTGTACCTTCAGAAAATGCTTCTCTACCATCAACACTATTATGAATGATGATAATGACGATTAGGATGATTTTAGAATACAATTTCTGAAGTAATAAAGTGATACATTATTTTTAAATGCTGCTTATTCGTTCAGTTTTAAATATATTTGACATAGAAAAAAAAAAACAAATTAAGAGAATCATGAAGTAAATTTACTCGAGGGAGACAAACTTTTTTTGTGCCTGACTGTTTCTCCAAAAAGTTTTTCGGCTGATATCAGATGAGGTTATAATTGTTTTGTCTTTTTTGCATTTCTTTGTTTCTCTTTCACTGTTTATTAATCTTTCTGGCATTACCTTCTCTGGTATTCTTTGTTCATCTTCCTTCATTGGTTTGATATGAATAAAAAGGAAGAAAGAAAAAAGTAATTTTCTATACATACACTTAGAACTGATTTTGACATTCAAAGTGCACTATCTAAAGAAAACGAGGAAAGATTTAGATTAGGAAAAGAAAAAACAGCAATTGAAGAAAAAAAAAGTTGGTTACATGCAACTGATACACAAGAAAAAAATTTACAGAAAGGAAAAAATATAAAATTGAAATCTGAGAGCAGAAGAAAAGAGAAAAAAGAGAGAGAAATAAAAATGACTGATATAAAAAAAAAATAGAGATAAGAAAGATGAGAAAAAACTAAATGATAGACAAATATGATAATGCATGAGAAAAAATAATTAGACAAAAATAAAAATGATAGGGAGAAAAATAAGAGTAATAAGTAAGTTTTCTTATTCTGGTTAATGTGGTTTATTTTGCTGAGAGGTGGGTTTTGTGTTTTTTTTCTTCTTTGATCTCCAGTCTTGTCCAATTCATCTGTATATATTGCTCTAATCATCTATTTGCTATATCTACTTACTCCCCTATAATTATTGCATATGCATGCATACACTGTATTCAGTAGATGACACACAAGACTTTAGGAGAATCATAGCAAAAAAGACAACCAGGTTCTCCTCTCGTTTACATATTAAACTGAAGCTGAGCAAAAATTCTATTACTCAATTCTAAAAGCGATAGAATTTCTTTATCAAAGAACATATGCAGCAATCTTTTCTTTTTCGCTTTTTTCAATATTCCGAAATGAATTAAAGAGTCTTGATTTTTTTTTTATTTCCTTATACACACAAAATGTCGTGCATATGTTCAGATTTTCAAAGTATTTTTGGCTTGCTTGATTTCCTCATTCCCTTCAAACAGTCACATTTTAATGTAAGATTTTAAATCGACTTGTTTTTTTAATTTAAAAAAAAAAAAAAATTTGAATTTAACATTAAGATATTTTTTGTTTTAATATATTGTGATGTTTTTCAATGTTTTGTAACCACAATACCCACTCATGTCTCTACCAGTAAACTTAATCACTGACAAAAATCAACATACAGCAACAAGAGGCAATAAATTTCAACAATTTTTTTTTTTCACTCTTTTTAAGCAATTTTTCTTACAATCAAAAGAAATTTCAAAAAGTTAAAAAGAAGGAAAAATTAATCTTAACTTTTCTTTTTTGCCCGTATATATAATTTTAGTTGTTTTCCAAATATTTATTAAAAATTTTTTTTTTTATAGATTTTTAAAAATTTTTGTAAATTTTTTAAACTTTTTTTTAAAATTTTTATCCATGATTTACTCCCTTATAGAAAGCAAAAAGATTTTTTTCTGCCATCTTTCAAGGGATTTCCAAATACAGATATGAGTGTTATATACTGGATGGACACATGGGTAGGAACACATTTTTATCCAGTGACACAAGGGATACAAACAAATTTCATTGCACACTGTATGTGCAGAGTCCTAAACAGTTTTTCTAGATCATTTCATTTTCTCTTTCAATAAGAATTGTAACATTCAATCATCATCACCAACATTTTCAACTTTTTCCCTCTTTTCTTGCCCTTCATTGCTTAATATTTTCCAACAGAACTTTCCCACTATACCAATTATTTCTAACCATATAAAGAGAGAGAAGCCATTATTATTATTATTATTATTATTATTATTAACATTACTTGCTGAATATTTTTTCATGTGTTTGTTTTCTTTTTTTTTCTTTTTTTTTTTTTGCAGTAATTTATTCTGGTTTAGCCATTTCATTTTTTTTCTTTATTCCTGATGGTGTGTCTGGATGGTCTCTCTTAAATCAAGGTTCATTCCCTCACAGTCAAAGTTGAAACCAAAAAAAGAAAAGATATCAATTCGTGCAGAATTAATCTATCTCATAGAATCTTGAGATTCATTCAACATCCACCAACACCTCCACATAGGTAACTGGGAAGTACCCTGTTCTACCATTGATTGATCCCTCAAACCAGTTATCATCAACTTTTTGCTTCAGATCAATTATGTCGCCTTCTTTGAAGCCAAGTTCTCCTTCATTTTCAGGTTCAAAATCATACAGGGCCTTACAGCAAGGTTTAGATTTGTTTCCTGAAAGAAAAGAGAAAAAAGTAAGTTTCAGAAAAGGTAAAAAAAACAAAAAACACTTAATCTCTTTAAATAATAGTAAAATATTTGTGGATTTTCTGGGATGAGAAATTATAATTAATTAGATCATTTACACATTGTGTCCTCTGGTCTTCAACAGGTGATTGTATATCCAGGTAACCTTCATGGAATTTTGAACTGGATCCACTTTCTTTTGTTCTCATTCCCCTGTTCATGTCCAGCAATATATCATTTAGTTCTTATTTAGTACTGCTCAATCACAGTGCCCAACCCAGGGACTGAATCTGCAATTACTATGTCACCATATTCACAAAGCAACACTTTAATCCACAAGTCTATTGACTTGAGGGATAATTCTGAGTAGAGAATTCGGAGCCTAAAACCTAACCTGTCTGCAGATGTGTGCTGCTGCTTGCTACACTTGACTGCACTCACTGAGGTTTCACTTCCACTGCAGAAGCCTTGCTAGCACTTCTTTCTTTATTAATGATTCCTCTATCATATTTATTTCTATGCTAGGCCTACTAAGGAGATCCTTATGGCACAATATATGTGCTGATTCTCTCAGACTCTCCAGTGTTCTCTGTCCAGTAATTTTATCATGAACATATAATAAATAGATGAGGTAATATCTATATTGAAATAAACAGAATTAGTAGTGGATTTAACAAAACTGCATGAGTAGGTAAAATATTTGCTTTACAATCATTTTTCCTTTATTTTCAATATCCTAGCTAATGCTAAAATCAATGTTGTAATAATCCTTTAATATTCTGATTATTGTATATACTTGTGATATCTTGTGATTATCATATATACTTGCAATTTTTGAAGAACTAATTTTGAAGCTAATTTTAAAGGGGTTGTATCATACATGAGATATAAAATTAACGTATGTACTGCTGGCCCTGGCTACACCATTGACCAAACTATATATCCATTTAATAGTCATAAAGTACAGCTGTATTTAAAATAAACATAATTTTGATAAAACTGATGTTTCACTTAACTGTATCCAGTAATAGTGCATGTAATATTCACATATTAGTATCATATTCACATATTAGTATCATATTCACATATTAGTATCATATTATTAAAATATAAACATAGCGAATATGCATCTTTTCCATTGTTTACATTTATAAGATGTTTAGTTGTTTCTCATTCAGTTGTTTATGGCTGTATATATTTATACAATGAGTATAGTGTTACTAACGATACTTTTATCATTCTCTTTTTCTTTTTTAACTTATTTAACTAGAAGCTGGGATAAAGAGATAGAAGAATAGAGGTTAGTCTTTTGTAATTTGGTCTCTCAAAAAAGGAACTCACATGATACACAAGATAGATGATAAAATCATTTTTATAAATGAAAATTTGAGGGTTGCACAATATGCAAGATCACATGTTACACAAGTATATACGATTAATTCAATTTTCATCACCTTTGACTTATGTGAATAAACCAATAGCTTATTCAAAGTTTTATTATAACTTAAAGATTTCAACTCTTCCAAGAAACATACAATATTTTATCTAAATAAAAAGATTTATTCAATTTTAAACATATAATGACAAAAAAAAAACATTTGAAATATAATTTCTGTTAGTTGTAGTCACAAAAATGTTACTGAAATTTGATTACAAAATGCCAACAGAAATAATGAACAGTAACAGTGAAAATTTGACTACTTAGTTATTTTATTCTACCAGTTCAAGGAGTTTCTCAGTTTGATAAAATAGCCATTAATATTAAAAATATCTGATGTTTGATTATTTGGTAAGGTTTTTGGAAGTGGATCAGACCAGAACTTTTTAGCACATCCTTGTATAAATGCAAAAATGCATGTTTTCTTCATAGGCAAAATCAAACAAGTAAAACTAAAATACCTTTTGTGTTTTTGAATTCGTAAAATCTGATTTGTTTTTTGTCAACCATCATAGATTTTAGTATCTTTATTTTGAAGAATATGTTTGTAGTGTAATGGCTAGGATCCTGGAACAAGAAATCAGGGATCTGTGTTGGAGTTCTGGTAGAGTTCATTACATTCACAAATAACTTTGGGAAAAGTATGAATCCATCTCTTCCCCCAACAGCTGTGTGTCAAATAACATGACAAACTGGGTTCTCTAGCCATGGTTGGCAACCAGTCTAGGAGAAAGACAACTTTGAATTCAAAACTATATGTAGTCCTGACAAAACACAGCCATGGAAAACTTTATGGCATTCACAATTAACTGTAATGTGAAATTGTAGACTCATCTCAAATGAGGTTCATGTGGAGGAGAATTTTAAAGAATTTTTGAATTGTTCTTTTGGGATAAAAAATAAATCTTACTAATAGTTCTTCTTAAAGTATATAAAAATACCAAAAAATCATGAAAAGGCAGAAATATAAGAGCTGAAAAAATAAAAATAAATAAAAAGGTGACAATACTAACCAGATTCAACCAATGAGGAAGAACTAGGGAAGTTGTAGCCACCGCCCGAGCTGCTAGAGGTGGCATCGCCAAATCCATCATCGTCATTAAATGGAGATGGTGATGCACTGCGTCTGAAGGAAGTTACGCGTTTCACAACATGGTCAGACCTTGGACGCGAAGCTGCATCTTCCCTCCTAAAAAGATGATAGAATAAAATAGATAATTTGATAAGGCATTAGACTTGTGAAAACCTGTTTTCTAAAAATAAATTTTCAGACAATTATGACAATATGGAAGCATGGTGGAGTAATAGATAGCAGTTCGGATTGAGGAATCAGAGAGCCGAGTTTGAATTCCATTCGAATCCATTACATTCACTTATATGCTAATACCCTTGGGAAAGGTATGAATCCTCTTCCCCCCCCCCCCAAGCTATGGGTAAATAGCAGGACAGACTGGGTTCTATAGCTTTGGATGGCAACTGGTCTACCTCAGAAAGAAATGGCAACCCACTGTGGAGAAAAAAATCTGCCTAGTCAGTCATGTATCAAAAGATACATGATCACCTAAGCATGTATCCCACATGGCATATATCTGAACTGATGACAATATCAAAGATTATGCTTATTTACAAAAGATTCTAAGTCATAAATAATTTCAGTTTTAGTTTATCAACTTTATTCTTCAGAAAATATGGTACAATTTTATTTTATTCAATTATATGTTCACCATTGTTTGCAATGACTTGTTGCCATGTATACAGCAGCTCTTCAATGCATTTTGGGTTAAATTCTGCAGATTATGACATGAAAGTTTTCAAATTTTTAAATCTGGCTTTCATCAGGGAATGTTTTCTCCCTGAAAGCATTTTATCACAATCAAAAAAGCTAATAATTGGTTGATACAAGATCAAGTGATTATGATAGGTAGAATAAAACAGACCCACCAAGTTCCCAAATTTTGTATTGTGTTATCCTTGCTGTATGTCGATTTGTGTTGTCAAAGAGGAGAACAACATTTTCCCTTTAATCCACTGTGTATGTAGCCACTGTCATGCAAAAATTAAGCTTTGTTAATGTACTAACTGAACTGCACCTATAATTAATAGTTATCATGATATCTTCATTACAATTGGTTACCAAAAATAGAAATTACTTATAACTTAACCTAATTTATTCAATAGAAATGAATAGTATGATCACCATGATTGTACTCGCTAGTTATTGAGCCCCAAAACCAAAAGTAAATGACAAGAACCATGACCTGATGCTGATGACTGAAAGCATAAAAGAAAATAGAACAATATTCCAGACACAATAATTAAATTCCCCATTCTGGATGCCAACTAAAAGCAAAAAAAGGGCCTTCCTAATTTACCCCACATCAAACTTTAAAAAAAAAAAATAGTCTTCCAAAATGATAAAAGTTACTGGTCCTGAACTAATATCTAAATATTCCTGTTTGATACACTAGACCCTGGCCCCCCTCCAATGACACCCAAGATTAAATAGGATTATAAAGTTTGATTATAAATCAAAATAGAATTAAAACATAAAATGATAGATAAGTATTGAGGAATCATCAACAGAATATTATTACCCATGACGCACATTCAATATTCCGTGATATAGAAGTGTTATATGCTAATGTCTGCTACCTGGCAGAGAAATATCTTATTTCTTTCATTCAGACAAATCTACACCTGATGCATGAAATATATTTTATAAAAGGGATCAAAGAAAAAAAAAACAAAGAGAAAAAAAAAGCATATCAATGTTGGCCCCTAATTAAAAAAAGTCAATAACTATATGAGACATTCACACAATAATGAAATTGTGTCATAAAAGTATCTTTTAAAATAACAAGAATCCAAGAGTAAGAAAAGTACAAATCCATTATGTATTCAAAAAGAGATGAACAATCTAAAGCAATAGACATTCTTCTCCAAGTTCAAATAGTAAAAGTCATATTGGTTGACAGCAAGAAAAAAAAAAACCTCAAAGAGAATAAAGGAATAACGAACTTGTATTCCAGAGTTTCACAAAGATGTTCCAGAATAGTTGTAGATTCCCGATGGTAATTGGTAATAGCCTCAACGAAAGCTTGTAACTGGGTAATCTGCTCTACCTGTAAGATGAAGAGAAGTAGATCCTACAATTAATAATGTTCATAATATGAAAAGTAACAAAAATTAGTTTATTTTTCAATATAACATGCACACAAATGGCCAGGACATCAATTTGCTCTTAAGATTTAGGACAAAATCACAGCTAATAATAATAATGACAATACGCAATGGTGATAACAATTATACAAGCAATAAAGTCTGGCCTTTTTTCCCCAAAGTTCAAACTTCTTGGCCATGTTTTATTTTTGTAGCTAGACTTGTCTGCACCTTTTGTTTATACAAAGCATCTGTAAACTTATTAAAGAAGCCATCCATTTACAATGGCAGTCACACAACTTTTAAAAGGTAAGGCTAAAATGATGAAATATAAACATTAAGTTTATTTTGGCTTAATTCCATGGAAACATTTGAATAAGAGTGAGTAGTTTACTCTTAATTTAATATAAACCACAGCAGATTAATTTTCAAAAACATCTTAAAATGACCTTCTAAATAAAAAATGAATGAAAAAAATGAGTAAAAATAAACAAAGTGAATGAACAGTCAGGAAAAAAAAAAAAAAGAAAAAAAAATCTCACATCATTTTCCAGTAAGTTATACATGGCAGTTTCTGTTATTGCCTTTGTTTCTTCAAACTTTTCTTCTGCCATCTTGAGTTCTTCATCAGCAATCCCGGAACCTAAAAGTAAAACAAAAATAAATGAAAGAATATGCACAAACAAGATCCACAGATCTAAAGTCAAGAATCTCTAATGATATTGAACTTGGCAAACAAAAAACAAAAAAAAATAAAACAAACAAAATGAAATACCTGCTGTTTCTCTGTACAACAAGAAATGAAGATGAAAAAACATTTCATGTTAAAAAGCTTAATCAAACACATGACTGGGTGAGTGTTGAATAAGAGTAAAGTAACTTTTTTTTTTTTTGAAAAGCATGTTCACTTGGTGGTGTAAAATGTGAAGAGAAGTATTTTAACATGAAAGATTACAAATGGGTATTGAGGACAGAATCAAAATTGGGTTTTCTTGAACATTTTTACAGACATATGCATATATTTAAGAAGTTTTACAAGGTTGCTGCATAAAATGTCATTAATAGTTTTTCATTATCAATGATGCTGACCTATAGAAGATGATAGTTTTGTGTCAAAACTTTAGGTAGTAGTTGTAGTCAATACAAATTGTTATTAAAACATGCCAACAGGAAATCTGCATCTGATTTTAAGAAGTTTAAAATAATATGTAATGCATTTGACAACCAATTTCTTAATGGACAGTGAAATGGATTAAAATAATTTTGATTTAGATTTAGATTTTTGTGTACATCTCAAAAAGACAGATTTAAAAAAAAAAACAAAAAAAAACAAATAATTTACACAATGAAATCCTTATTTAAAAAAGACAATTATTATAATAGCAATCTTTTCATAAGACAAACCTTTATCTAAAAGTAAACAAATAGATTATTATTAAGTTAATCTCAGTAACATTCTTCAAAGAGTCTTCTTCAAAATAAATTGTTTTAATAAGTTTAAATCAATGTTAAAATGATGGGAATATTTTTTTATCTTAAAGTAAAAGAAGACACATTCAAAACCTTTTAAAATCCATTTACAGTGTATGAGCAGGTGCTGAAAAGTAACCACTTCCTATAATCTGATCAAATTACCAAGTAAGTTTTTATTTGGAAATCGCCAAGAACTTTTTCAGTACTCTTTTGTATATAAATTTTCTGTTGTAACAAAATATCTTCAAACGCACTAAGGATCACTGGTCATACCAACAAATAGATTAAGAAATATATGTGTGTGAATATCTGCAAACATCTCCTTGGAGTATAGTAATTTTCTCAAGACTGACCAAAAAGTTTCTCATATTTCAGTCACAAAAAATGGTAATGTACATTCCCATTAATAACATGCCAAGGATTCTCCACCCTGCACTCCATCGCAAATGTTACGCAAGGCCTCAAGTTATACATGTCACCCACGGGTCATCTGTAGTCATTTGTGCAGGTGTTTGATAGATTAAATAGTCATGCTTTTCCCCATGAAGGCTAATGGTTGCTGTTAGAGTAAAACCAAAGAGTTTCAATGCTAATTTTAAAGACAGAGAAGCTTTCCCTACTTAGAAGAATGGTGAAACACAATGTTTCTAACTTTATTTATACTGGTTCCATACAAAGCATAGTAAATACCTAGTATGTTTCTTCAATAAAAAATAAAAAACAAACAAAAAAACAAAAAAACAACATACAAATTACACTTGTATGTGCAGAGTGAAAAAATATCAGGACATTTTGCATTCATTCATTCATTCATCATGACAATTTCTCAGAAAATGATGTTCCACAGGAAAGGAAAAGAGTCAAGGTTGACAGAATCAATGTCACAAGATAATGGCACAAAATGGTAATTAGCCATTTCCATACCAGAAACATTCAGCATTCATTGACCAAACAGTGAGCATTATTGGCATTTGAAATCTTTCTCTTCAAGCAATTTTTTGGAAAAATAGGTTTTCTAAGTTCACTGTTATTGCTCTTTCTAGTACTGATTAGAGTTTCCTTCCTAACCTTTTGTTCAAGGTAATGTGGAATATCAAGATCTTGATTATATCATTATTTTCCCTTCTAATTGCATGTACTATCCATTTTAGTTGATGCCGCTGTTGAAAGTCTTCAAGTAATATGACTTGTTATTTGATAAGTTCCTTGTGATTCTGTAGATCCAGACTGTAAGATCTGATGAAACCAAATTAATCTGCTGATTTTAATCCTATAAAAAAATTTATAGCAAGGTTAGAAGCAGATTTCTCAGAGGCATCCTAAGAAATTTGAGGACAAAGATTATTAGTAAAAAGTGGTGCAAAAATTGACAAAAATGTTTCAAGAACTTCTTTATGTGCCATGTCCCTTCCTTGATAAACCACAATTTTTGTACTTGCTTGATTTTAGTAACCCAGATTTATAATTTGCATTTTAGGCTCATCATTTTGTTGACAACCATGCATTCAGTCTTCTTGCAGTTTGTCCTTTCTTCACACTTTCCTTTGCTACCTTCTGTAGAAGCTTTTGTAGTTTCCTTTCTGTGTCTGCTATCAACACGGTGTCATCAGCACATCTTATATTTTTAAGATTGTGGTTGCCAACAACAAATCCCAGCAGGACATTTAATTCTTTCATAATTGCTTTGGTGTATAGAGGTTGAACAAGTCTGATGAGAAGACACATCCTTGTCTTACTTCCCTTTCTATTTTTGTATATCTACTGAAGTCATTTTCTATCCATATGCAGATGGGTTTTCTGCCAGTCTTGATTATTCTAATATCTTTCTCAAATATGTCAAGGTTGCTGAGCAGCTCTAACAGATACTTGTGGCATACTTTATCGAACACCTTTGCATAACCTATAAAGCACAGGTACACATCCTCTTGCATTTGTTTGCTCTTTCTGATAATATTCTAAGCATAAATATTGTGTTCCTTATTCTGGTGTCATTGACAAACCAGCACTGTTCTTGTCCTAACTCCAGTCTGTGTGTGTGTGCTCTATTCACCAAAATAGATCTGCTTAGGTCTTCTAATATATCACCACTGTTGTAGATTTCATTTATTATTTCTGTGATCATTTAAGGCACCAGCATCTCTATTTAGATCTCATCTGGCCCTGCTACTTTGTTTATGTTCAATTTGATCAGTGCAGCTTCCACTTTGGTTTTAATATTTCTGGTTTGTCAGTATTTCTGTGTGTTGCCAGTTGTTCTTTCATCATGGAAGAGTTCTTCAATATATTCGTTCCATCTCTGAAGTACTTTTTTCATTCTTTAATATCATTGTTCTGTGCATGGATTTTATGCATCCCGTTAATGACTCAGCTGAAAACTGTAAGCAATTGGAAACAAATTTTTTGCAACAACATATTTGAGTCGTGTGTGTGAATGCATATTTAACTGGTACTTAGGTTTTCTCTAAAAATAGTTCCATGTATCTGCAATTGTCTATTTCTTCCTCCTATTTCTGAATTTTACATGAAAATGCATTAGCTGCATTTATTTCAGGTAAAAACGTTCAGAGGAAAACATACGCAAGTATGAAAACTGCAATAAAATTCAGTATGATTTTCTTCTCATTCTCCCAATATATGTAAATGTTAACTGTAGACAAATAAATAATAATAGTAGGTAAATAATAATTGTAGGACAAAACAAAAAAGTAAATGGTGTTTATCTGCTACAATTTAGGCTAATATAATATCTATTGATGAAATCTTTTCTACAAAAATATATCTTTAAAGTTTCCATTAATTGTATAAAGCATACATTTGGTTCATCATAGAGCAAATAAAAAGAAGTATTGCCATGATCTTAAATTACACGAACCTATTTTATATGTTTCCCAACCAGGCATTTACAGCTTTCACATGAATTAAATCTGAACTAATTAAACTGAAATTAATATATCTGAATATAAGGAAGCAAGTGACACAATTATGCAACTGTCCAATCATAGAAGTGAAAACAATTGCATTTAAAAAATATATATAAAATTAAATTTAGAAATATATATAAAATTATAAATGTAATTACAATTAATTAATTATAAAATGAAAAGATAATTAATCAATTATAAAATGAAAAGAAAAAAATCCATTTTCGTACATTTACCAAAATGAATTTAAATTTTGAAACCCTTTCCCTGTATTTGCGAGGGCAGGATGAATAAAAACCATTTTAACATTTCTGCAAGTTTCTGACAGTTTGCATGTAAGAGATATAGTTTTAAATGTTATATATTAACAATATTTACAAACTTTTCAATTTACAGTAACAAATATTAGCTATTTATTATTCTAAGTTCTATGTTGAAGTAACACGGTTGGGGGGGGGATTCAAAGCAACTAAAAGAAAAACTTAAATTACAAGATAAGCAACAAATTACCAGGTCATCCCATATATGTAAAATCTGATGAGAGTCAGATATTGAACATTTGCACTATATCTTAAAATGCCTAAATGATAACAATATATGTTTATACCTGTTTCTACAGTTTTCAGTGAGTAAGTTACATTGTCTATATACATTTCTATTAAATTACTTACTTAACCTTTCAACTGATGATGGATATATTTATGAAGAAGATATATAACACTATGAGTTTAGAAAAAATAAAAATACTACAAAAGCAACACAAAATGTTTATGGGATTTATTCTTTAAATGAAATAAATTACCAAAGAGGAACGGAAAAGTGATAAGATCAGCTGAAAAGATTCACCACAATTAGGTTATCTAGTGAAGTTTTATGATGACCTACTTTTCTCTGAACTCTACAGAAACAGGGCTGTTAGAGTTGAAGAATTAGCTGAAGCCATTCAATGATTCATCATCACATGCAAAAACTTGGAAAATGAACTCCCTAAGATTTAACAGAAGTTAACTGCCCACCATAGAACAAGAGTGGGTATCTCCACGTGTATCTCTCTTCACCATACTGACATATCATATGATGCTTCAATTTTCTAACATGCCATACTGATCTAACTTTAGTTTTTGTTCACTGAACAATTGTCATCAAAGGCAACTCTCCAGTTTTGACTCTTTCTCCCTATGGTGCAAGAATACCCTCCCTCTCCCAATCTCTCCACTTGTTTCTCAAATTCAAGTCTTACTCTCCCCTT